TTTTAAAGTCTTTTGGTGATTCTAATGCAGTGGGAAACATTGATATAATTATTTTCCAAACCTAAGAGTTATCAGATAAATTGACAAAATAAAGTCATCATCATCATCCAGTCATGATGATCAGAGACCAGCAAGACCACCACTTAGCTCTGCCCACCTCCTCCCTCCAAAAAGGTCATTCAAATACCTTTGAGCTTTCATTACTACTCTGATGAATGTAGTTGATGCCAAAGAGATTCGCCATGTTTCCTGGTAAATTTCCAGCTCTAGATTTATTCAAAACTTTTTCTTCTATATTCTCTCTTACACATGGTCTTTCCACCAATTTTCCCTGGATGCAATGGGGTGTTTATTCTTTAGGTTCATGTAATCCTCCAAAAGCTCTCCTCGCTCCTCTTTGCCAGGTTGCCAACTTCATCCTTCCAGGGGAAATCTTTCCCTGCTCAGCTGTCAGCAGTCTCGACGCCCTAAATAGCATAATCTCTTCTGCTGTGCACCTGGGTGGTGCCATCTGGCTCTTCAAGTGGGATTATCTTCTGAGGCTACACTAAACCCCATCGGTTTCCACTCCACTTGTTAATATCTATTAGTAACAGCTTCCTTCCTTCTGACCATCCCTCTGGAGAGAGAAGCTTATAATGGAGTTAAGGCAGAAAGAAACTTCCCAATAATACATCAGTTCTGTTCACCAAGACTTTGTGGAACAGCCTTTACTTTTCTTTGATTTCACTTGAAGACAGAAAGAAAGTGGCTTGAGTCTATAAATGATTCAGCATCAACCTCCAATGGAAAGAAAATGCTAGACTTCCCGCCACTACATTCCCTTTTGAAGCATCAAAGGAGCCTCCAATTCCTTGATTTATCCAGTTCTAGAGAATTTCCTCACTCTATGGTATTTGATCCTCCCACCACCACCACCACCACCACCACTGCATTGTTTTTCTTTTTCCATGCCAATTATCTTGTGACAAAGGAATTACCCTTAGCTACATATGCTGTGAACTTACAAAGAATTTTTGTGTTGTCTCCATAGGACTGTATTGCACTCTGGGAAATGATCAGGTTGAAATATGCTGCCAGTTTCTTTAGATACCAGGACATGCTTCTGAAAGGCGTTTATCTAGAGAATCTCTAGGTATCTTCTAGCATCGAACTCATAGGCATTAGACCCAGCAAGCTATCTTAGTTGTCTTCATCTAGACTTCACTGAGGAATCACAAGACAAAGTAAAATGTGGTCGTGGTGCTGCTCAGGTTGTATGGGATAACCTCACCCTTTTAAATGTCAGAGTAGTCTTTGCCAAGAACAGCAGGGAGAGGTAGCAAATAAGAGCCAATCACTCTTCCCGATGTTTAAGGATTGTCTTATCTAGAATCAGGGAGATACCATATGAGTGCAGGAATTTTAGGATTTTACTGTTGGTCTTTGTTTTAGCCAGGGTTCCCCAGAGAAACAGAAGCAAAGGGAGATGGATGCAAGAGAGGGTTTGTTATAAGAAAACAGATGATGGCACTATATATGCTGAGAAACCTCACAATCTTCCTCCTGCAAGCTGGACCCCTAAGAAAGTCAGTGATGCAATTCCTGTGTGAGTTGGAAGCCTTAAGAATCAGAACTACTGGTGAAAAGTGCAACCCGAAGGCATGAGAACAATGTGCAGGCTTTAGCAGCCAGGAGGCAGAGGGGGTGAATTCCTTTTCCCTTTGCCTCTGTGTTCTATCCAGGCCCTCTGTGGCTGAAATGATGACCACACTGGGGAAGGCCAGCTGCTTCACTGAGTCATCAATTCAAGAGCTAAGCTCACCCAGAAATACCCTTGCATACACAACCAAAAATAATGTTTAATCTGAGCATCCCATGCTAATCAAGTTGGCACATAAAATGAACTCTCATAGCCTCTCAAGTCTTATAAATGAATCTATAGAGACACAGGGTGTGATTAACTATGAATGTTGCTTTGTTGTGGGCTATTTATTTATTTATTCAGTATCCTAACCTAATCCAGTTGCACTAGATTTGAAGGGCTTACTTTTCTCTATGGGAAAAAAAAAATCCATCGTCCAGATATTACCTATCTGTGTACTTGTTTTATCTTTATTCTACAAAAATTGAAGCCACCTAGAAAAATACATTTAAAACAAAGTGATAAATCTTTTCAAAAGGAGAGACTAGTGAGTAAAAAGGGGAAAGTTAGGTAAATAAATCATAAGGCTGAGTGATATGAGCAGCACACATAGACAAGAATCCCTTTATTCCTTAGTTGTTGCTAATGGGACCCACAGTTATGACCCTGAGCTCCCTAACAAGTACACAATCATAAAATATAGCGCTTGCATGCCTTGAAGTGTTTCTGAAACATGAAACTGGAATCATTCAGGAGAACAGGTTGGTCCCAACTGGGAGCCCTGCTGGTCATCTATGAGGAGGAGGGAGGTCTCTGGAAGACATGTCTTCCATCTCCTTGGCCAAAGCCAGCACAAGGGGCCCCCAAAGCACAGTGGCAATGGCTCTATTGATACTCACATCATGGAGCTTCCAAAATCAAGACAAGTAGTGGCTGCTCAATTTTCTTTATGTCTATCCTCTAAGTCAGTGGTAGGGTAACAAAGGTGATTTAGTAAGAACAGTTCTGTTAGCAAACAACAATTATAAAGAGAACACAGAGTAAATGTGATTAAGAGAAATATGTCATCAACATGAAAAATATTGACAGCTATGTTTATTACATGTTAGTGTGTGATGTGATGTGACCTGTTTTGTGTCTTTAAATATTACCTAAAAAGAGACAGACAAGTTCCTAGCAATGATACCTTGATAATGTGTGTGTTCTCCCTGGGCTAGTGTTACTTGGTCAATCTAGCAGACACCTCAATCAAAAGAAAGTAGTGTTTCATAGAGAAAAGCAGGCTTTGCAAAACTAATAGAAAATCCCTCATAACACAACTATATTTTTTATTTGAAAAACTGACATTTATCTTGATGTGGCATTTTCTTAATCCTTTGATTACTTTTAGCAGAAATACCTCAATGACTTTTGGTTGAAATACATGAAGATAGAAAACTGTCATGAAAGTATAACACATGAATTTATAAATCTATAATTTATAGTATAAATTTTGTTATTAGATGTGACAGGGCTGCTTGTCCATACAAGTCTACATACTCTAAGGAAAATTATTTAAATATATCATCTTTGGCACTACTACCTTTCTTGTGATCATATAACTGGGTCCTAGTGAGTCCACAAAGTTAACAAGTCAATTAATGTTCATAAGTTTTATTTTTAAAAAATTTGAAAGAAGAAACAGGAAGCACTGACCCAAACACTAGGTAGAAAAGACAGGAATAGGAATTTTTCTAGAAAGCCAAATGAAAAAAATACCTGGAAGAACCAAGTTGGTTGTTGGGTAATAAATACAAGCATCTTAGTTGTTGATTCCCTACTACTTTGTAACTCTTTTCTAAGGTTAAATAAGAGGCCAACCACAAGAATTTTTGGCCCCCCAAAGCTACAATCTTCCATCGGTGATGTAGCACCTCCATAATGAAATTTGAACGGGAAAGTCCATGACCCCAAGTGAAAAGTTTAAAGTTCCATCTTTGCATTTCTTTTTCAGTTTCAGAAACAATACTTTAAATCTCAGTGCCCAAGTCTATATCTTGCCCATTTTCATTCCAAGAGACAGGCCTTGCCTATAATTATACTAGGTAACAATGACAGTGAAAAACACTGTGGTCCTGACTGACCCCAGCAGGTTAGCTCTTTGTGTGCCGATGGTGTGAGACCAGCTAACACCACCTCCCCATGCATGGCCTTACATGTTCCTGATGGCCCTAAGCAAGTCCACACTGTTAAAAAGCCTACATCGGGCCTTGTCATGTAGTGACCAAAAGGGAACACTGGAACTTGGGGTTTCCTGCCGTGTGTCCTACCTTCATGCCGTTACAATTCACTAAGTATGATTCTAGATTCCAGGTTAGCAGAGTGGGCCAAAAAGATGTGGCGTTGGTACCTGTGCAAGTTCCATGTTGTTACTGAACGTTGTCCTCATTCTTTATTCCCTTCAGGAAAATCATTCTAGTTTACATATCTCAGGAACTGAGAACTCCTGCTGACTCCAGACTTCTTCAATCCATCTTTTTAAAAGTGAACTTTTGAGTCTTTGTTCTGCAAGTAGACGTGTTTTAATAGAAGTGATTTTCAGCCATTGTAAAATACAATGACTAACAGCAACTCTCAGAAATTCTAATTTAGGGTGTCTCTATGATGGAGCTTAAAGATATGTGATTTTAAAACTTTCAGAGGGGATTCTCATTTGAATCCAGCTTTTACTGGAGTTGTGGAGAAACTCCTTTGATTTATGCAATTTATCCAATCATTTTTATATAAGAAACAAAAATAGCACACAAGTAGCACTTAAGGTAACAGACACCAAGATAAGGGATACCCTTGATTTAGAAACAAAAAATTCTCTTGCCTCCACAATCCCCCCCACCACCACCACCTATTTCTCTTGTGGGATAAGATGGAAAAGGGACAGAGAGAAAGGTTCCAGAGATATGCTCATTTAAATGTATCTACAAACCAGCATTGCCAATTCTCTATTTAATAAGTTTGACTTTAAATCATTATGTTAAGTACTAGAGCTAAGGAGATCAATAAAATACATATTAAGTATGAGATTACTCAGAATCCTAGACAGTAGGCTTCTGAGCCATATGGACAACTCCAGATATAAAATCGGTTGCACATGAACTCTTTTGAGATTTGATCATGCAGATAACTTCACTGTGAGACAAACATAACATAATGAAAAAGCATTGGGTGGGGGTCAGTGACCTGAGTCCTAACTCCCCATCAGCCACTAATTCCTCTCAGGTTTCTGATGGCTACATCTGTGGATTTCCAAATCCCCTTCTTTTCTATGTTCCCAAGCTCTGTGATCATCCTGTGATTATCTATTTCTGATGATACTTTTGTTTCTGATTCTTTTTTGCAGATTCTGTTCATGGGCATGATGACTGAGTACTATCACTACTTTTTCACAACCCTGGTAAGCACCCCCAGTAGTAATCTACCCCACACAATAGAAAAGATCTCCAGTTATTTCAAAATCAGACTATCCTTCAAAGGCAGAATACTGTAATGGTGATTTGACTTCCTTTCCTAACAAGTCAGAAGTGCTGAATGACAGGTAAACTTCCCTCCCTTCTCCCCTCCTAAGAGCATCCATGCATGTGTATCCAGAAATGGATTAAAAGGAAACTTCCATTAAGTAGAAATCGTCAAAGAGCAAATATTGCATAAAGAAACATCAACTACATTTTCTGTGCATATAAGAAATGCAACAAAGTTCGTCTTGGTATCCTCTGATCTGTTGTGCTTTACCCACCTGTGCCAGTAGATATCCAGATATTACAGTCACCTATCAGGTATTTTGAACTCTGTCAGGAGGAGAAACTTGGAGATATTCTGAGTGTGGATTATTTTTCAGCCTAAGAAAATCATAGCTCTAAACCTTAGAACTTTCAAAGAAATTATCAGTAGAACACCTTATATTTCAAGAGATTAGCAAATCAAGGGAGCATGACTTAGGGCATGCTCAAAATGATGTGATAGTTCTCATTCAGGCACTTTCAAAAACAAGTCAAACACACCCACATGTTCCACCACCCCACACACTTCATTTCCTTAGAAGGGAAAACATATAACTACTCTCCTCTGTTAATCTATAAAGGTGTTTCAGCTAAACTACCCAGATTCTGGGAGATTCAGTAAGAGTGCCATTTATCACAATCAACAAGCTAGGGTCATGAGGGGTAGAAACCAACGTAACTGGAACAAGGATCATACGACTGAAGGAGTATCAAGGGTCTCTGGCTGCATACAGGGTGCAGAGATTAGCAGAAGGCCAATGGTGAGGGGCATTTGTCAACATTCTTACAGCTCTCCCACTTGACAGGTGAGAGGGGTGCAGGACGGACTGTTCTGTACCCAGTTTCCGTGCTTTCCCTTCCCACTGATGTCCTGATCAGGTCCTTTGTCGAAACATTCAAGATAAACTTCAGGAACCAGAACGTACCTTATTCTTTTCACAAATATGGCCCCTGCCCCATCATCGTGAACAAGTGGATGTTACTCAAGGTGGCACAACCATCCAGCTCAGAATGTTCTCCCATGCTCAGCTGCACACAGCCCTAAGAACCGATTTTTTTTTAATTGTGAGAAGGAATTAAACAAGCAGATTGCTTCCCAGTAGAGCCCTTTGAGCCGACAACACACTCTTGTGCTCATCCTTCACCCACAGGAGGAGAATAGAAGTCAGTTCTCTATTGCACAGAAACCCCAGTCTCGGAGCGAACCTAATTCCGCCCATGTTTCATGTCCTTAATGTTGAACTAGCAATGGATTTGATATGTATCTTGGAAGTTTCTGTCTGACCTCCTGAAGCTCCAGCCACTTTCCTTGCATTCAGGGGCGGGTGAAAGCCATGGTTCTTTCTCAGGCCTTACTCCTTCAATTTGCTCCTCTCAGCATTTTCCTTTGGTTTTTTATCTGTGTTCTGTCATGCTTTGCTTTTTTTAAATCTTACCACTCTTGTCTGTGAGTATTAATAAAACATAAAGATGAAAGAAAATTAGTTACTTAGCACAAGAGAAAAAATATAATACTTTAAAAGGCAATTCACTGTTTCTCACTCTTTCCTAGGAGCACAGAGCTACACTCATATAGTGCTGGTACCTAATGCAAAATAATCTTGGGAAAGGGTAGCGACATAGAGCACAGTCATTCACAAGAACAAATCTGTATGCAGCTTCTGCAAATACAAATCACTGAGTATATCTGAAGCTGCTCTTTTAGTCACCACAATCATAATAATGCACTAGCTTGTAGTGGGCTTTCAGAAAGCAGTTACATTATTAGGCCATTTTTATGGAAGTTTCTTTACACTTCAATGCTATTTTGAACATTTGTTTTTGCCTTGAATATGAGAACGCGAGGATTAATGATATACTTTTGCGTTTAACCTTCTTACATGAAAAATGTTGAAATGATCACATAAAGTGTTTTAAATGTGAATCAGCTTAAACTCAGCCTCTTCTCTTAGGGTGACACTGGGGTTAAACTTTTTCCTGAAGCACTGTCTGAAACTGAACAAATTCTATTGTTAGGATGCTCACGTCCATGTGACCATATGCTCCAGTTTATCCTCTGAAGAGAACCCTTTGCTTCTCATTCTGAACCTGTGAATTGTGAATATTCTCCATGCCCTCATTGTACGGATCTGGGCTATTTTCAGTGAGTCTTGCGATGGTATATTTTCCAAGGAATGACTCTTCTGGGAAATGCGCATACCATTTCCAAAGTTCACCTTCCAGGCAAGACTGGCATGCTGAAGTACAAATGATGATGAGAGCGGATGGTGCTGCTCCCTGTCAGTGGGGGGCTCTTGCGAGAACCCCACCACCAGGCAGAACCTGTTTCCTTATCTATGAATGAAAGCACTGAACCAGGTGGACACAAAGATCCCTTCTAATTCCTCAAAGACTCCAGCTAGAAACCCTCCCAGTGTCCTGTTCCACACTTAGGGGTGTGCTAATGAATAGCGGTCCTCTTCCTCCCGTTGGTTTATCCTGACATTGGCTGTGCCACAATGGATGGAAAATAATACCTTTTACAGGCTTCGTGTCTTTTACGCGAAAGCAAATGAGATACAATGGCAATGTTCATTCAGAGAGTGTAATCGCAGCTGCCGCTTCTGCCATCACTTTGTCCTGCACAGAAAGAACACTGAAAGCATCAACTCCGCTTTTATCCACTTTCACCCTTTTGCATCCTGCACAGGACTTATTTGCTCTAGATCTCGAGCTGTACAGGTACAGCGGCGTCAACATGACGGGGTTTCGGCTGCTGAATATCGACGACCCACACGTGTCCTCCATCGTGGAGAAGTGGTCCATGGAGAGGCTGCAGGCCCCGCCACGGCCGGAGACTGGGCTGCTGGACGGCATGATGACAGTAAGTCGTTCTACACAAACGCCTAAATGTTTAAGATAAATACTGAAATGCAGGGAAACTAAATGAGATCACGTTTGCAATCTGGAGGGGTGAAGTTAAGAATGTCACGTGCTTTCTAGCGAATGAGAAGACACAAACGCTGTGATAATCGGTGTTTTGACTTAGAGAAGGAGCAAAATTTTATTTATTTCAAAGTCAAGCGCTTTTCTCCTATAAAAGCATTCGGCGTGGGGCTCTCTCTGGTGGTGCACTGCGCTGCCTTGTGAGGCAAAGCCAACCTGAGGCCCCCTCAGTGCGAGTTCGATCCCTGCCCTGGAGGTGACCCACATGGCGCAGCAGACCTCTCCTGTCTCCCCGCTGCTCCCCTCAGCAGTGTAATTTGCTGATCTTCCTGTTCTGCCCCCACTCTCTGATGAATCCTCTCGCAGCCCCTGCATCTCTGACCTGCACCCCATTTCTGTGTGCATAATAAAATCTTTAAAAAATATTTTTTTTAAAGCAGTGTGGTTGTCACTGAGGCAACAGGTGGCAAATAAAGACAAAGTAGAAACTCCAGCAAAGCCAGAGCAGGTGGCCGGGGGAAGCGGGGAGGAAGTAAGAAGGGGCTGCTTCTAGGTGACCCAGAACCAGCTTGCCCTCCTTGGGCAGGTCTCAGCAAGGGGAAGCAGGTGGCGAAAGGGACCAGCTTCCCCCATCCCAGCTTCCCCCCTCCCCCTCCCCCTCCCCTCCCCCTCCATGTGCTTTCTCTTTCCTGCCCCTCTCCGGGTGTGCGCTGGCATCCGGCACACAGGCGCACATCTTCACGCCAGCACGCGCTGCCTTGGTGCAGATGCCAAACCCACCTCGTGACAAGGGAGGGTGCGCCGCTGGGCAGACATATTGCAAACCGCCTCATCAGAGACCTCCTAGCTCACATTTGTCTATCTGTTGTCAAATGCACCTTCCACACTTGATTTTTCTAATGAAGCTCCCTGTGTAATGAAGAAAATAACAGGAAGTCTAAAAAAGAAAGCTTTCTATGTAGGAACTGTGTCATTTAAAGAGGAAGACACTGGGGATGTGGGCAGGTAATTGTATTTTAAATTGGCATAGGATTTCATTCTCTGTTTCCATCACCTCGAGAAGTGCTCTTGCTTTTAAGATGCAACCGATAACCGCAAAGTATCATCTTCCATAGAAATGAACTTGGGTTTCTTTCCTTTTTCTATCTTTTTTGTGTGTTTGTTTGTTTAAAATGAGTAACAAAAAGTAATATGTGAATGAATGGGAAGGCTCTATTTGATTCTGTGTGCAAGATTCGGACTTTTTCAAACCCAAAATAACTTTTCAAATATATAAAGTGAACTGAGAGATAATAATGGAAAGTATTTTGTACAAATGATTCCTCATTGATTTGGAACATTACTTTGAATAACAACAACTGGAGAAGGGGTCTCCCTGGTGGCACAAAGGATTAAAGAGCAGCAGTATGAGGCTGTCTCCACAGCCACTGCAGCATGAATTTGATTCCCCACCGACATGGCGCAGCAGACCTCTCCTGACCCACCCACTGCTCCCCTCAGCAATGTATTTCAGTCGATCTGCTGTTCTGCTCCCCACTCTGTCGCTGGTGAATCCTCTCACCCTCACACCCCTGGCCTGTACGCCACTTATATATGCACAGGCAAATAAATCTTTTCCCAAAAAGAACAATTAGAGAATATCCACTCATATCCAAAAGAAGTATAAAAGGTGGGGGGAGGGGGACCTAAGGAAAGAGGGATGGGGGAAGAGAGAGGAAAAGAAAGAGGTGGAGGGGCAGGGTAATTTGTGTCTTTTCCCCTTGGGTTTGTGATTCTAGTTGGTTCAAAACTGGTTCGAAAATCATCTGCATTCTCCTTTCTCCCTGCTCCCCGCCCCAACCCTACCCTGCCTCCCCCCGCCCCAACAAGACTCATTTCACAGAATAAAATCTCAAATAACTTTTACCTGTGGGTCACCTCCTGGGAGGGGGTCAAACTCATGCTGAAGTAGCTTTAGCTTCTTAGTGCTGTGCTTTAATCCCTGTGCCACCAGGGAGGGCCCAATTTTTATCTGTATTTTTTAAACTATAAAAATGATATGATTTGGAATTATGTTAATACAGATTTGGAACACAGGCCAAATATTAAACATTCATCGCAAGTATGACTTAATTTGCCCTCACCCCAAAAGTGTTGTGTTCATGGTACTGAGCTGACAGAAGAGTTTGCACAGTTGACTGAATTGAAGAAATCTCTGAACAAGGGGAGAGGGCTATATAATTCACACCTTCACACCCAATCAGGCAGGACTGGGTGTGCAGCTACCCCCCAGGGCTGACCTCAAGGACCTGGACATATGGCCACCCAGGGGCAGAACATGGCAGAACCAGGTGCCAGTGGGTGGCAGAGGCCCCATTCCACCTACACGTTACTGCTGTCATCTCACGCAGTAAAGGTGAGATAGCAAGTGATATGTATTATTGTTTTTGCTTTTATTGGGAAGTAGAAGAGGGTGTCTCACTAGGATGCTGTAGAAATGGATAGAATCACTATGCCAGGACATGTGAATACAGTCAAAAACGCAGAAACAGTTCCTGCTACAAATGGGTTCCTATAATCATAGCACATTAGACTGAAATCAACCCCAGGAAGCAAATGTTTGACCTTTATTTAGCTAAAGAGTCCCAAGTGGCACTGGACACTCAAGGTGGATACTCATGCAGATGTCTTCCCTGTGATCATAGGAAATGCTCACATATGGGGTGATGCTTCTACTCACTTGGGAACAGAGACCCTAAGTGACAGGAAGTTAGTGGACATGTATGTACAAGATTATCCCCTTGACTGAGCGTGAAGTCAAGAGAACACAGCCCATGTCCCCAGAAACTTTGACTCCAGACTGAAGAACAATAGATTCAATTTAAGAAAAAAAATATTGACTTTAAAAATAGTTCAAATTGAGTTCCCTAAGAAAACTTGTTACTATGTCAATAGACTACAAAATAGTGAAACTCATTATTTAAAAACGTCTTGAGATTAAAAAAAAGAAAGAGTGCTTTATCAACCAGAATGTTAATTAACTGAATAGAAGTCTGGAGTGATTTTGCAAAATCTACTTCAGTCCTTTTCACCATCTTTAAATTTCTCTCAGTGCCTGGTTGAATGAATCTATGGGATTTTGGACAGACAAGACTAACGGAGTGACCCATTCTCAGATGGATTCATCTCTCCTTGTGAACCAAGATTTTATGATTCAGTTCTCCACTGTCATCATTAAAATAACAAAAAAAAAACCAAAATATTAATGCTATTTGCCCCTCCTCCCCCCCACACAGTGCCACAAATGCATTCACAACACGAAGCAGTCAGAAGTGTATGTACCATGTCTGTGATCATTCCCAATGATCCACAGGGAAGACATCTGTGAGTATTCCTTGAGTGTCCAGTGCTACTTTAGTGGTGAAAGGCAAAAGGCAGTGTGGTCCAATGGAAAAAGCAAGATTTTTCCAGGTCGAGAGAGCCTGGATTGAATTCGCCATTGTGGCCTTGAATAACTGCGTAAGTCATCCAGCCTCTCTCCATCTGCTGCCTCGTGTGTCACTCTGTACTACAATACTTGGTTAGTCTCATTCTACACTGTAAACTAGGTAACACAGGCAAAGCCACGAGGACATAAAATTGCATTTACTTGATGGTTCCCACCGTTTAGCCAATTTATAGTTAATAAAAGAAAAGACATTTGAAATTACCAAGGCAGAATCTGTACTTTGTCTCCTTCAAGGCAGAATCCATGTGTTCACAAGCGATATATCCCCCTTGCCTGGGATCTGTGTGACCTTCTAAGACCAGTGGGGTCACCCATGAGTTTTCCCCAACTGTACATACAATTCTCTTTTCCTGACTTTTCGCTTTCTCTCAATTGAGTCTCACTTAAAATTTCTACTACGCCCACTTCTGGGTCAGACCGCTTTGGATCTGATGGAATTATTACTGAATATCTAGATTCTAAGTTTAGGTGGTATTTTGGCTACACTCCCCAACTTAGTGCCAACTCCCAGTTTACCTGTGAGCTGCTCTTCCTAGCCCCTTATATGTTCAAGTGTTCACCACCTCTTGCACCATTACAAGGGTAACCAGCATTTATAAACCAAATGGCAAATCCTGTACACTGTGGTGAGATAGCTGGAATTTTAGATTGTCATGTTAACTCAATGAGGGCAGAAATTCAGTAAATGAGGGGGGGAGGGTGTTATTTTGGAGGACTGGAAAGCCACCCAATCCATCCATATTAGGTTAGTGAACATTTGCAGATTTGCAAAGACAGAAAAGCTATAAATTTTGTCCATTTTCTGCCCAAAGATCCTTCTCCCCTTCAGCATCCATTCTCCTGTAGCTATTGCAACAACAGATCATGGGTATGGGTAGTCTTCATCCCTAAGGTGAGGTAGCATCTCATCAGCTTGTGTTGGAGGTCCAAAGGCCAGATTCAGGTTTGATGATTTGTGGAAGGACTCAGAGAAATCAGATAAACTGTTACAGTCAGTTAGCATTTATTACAATCCCGTGAGGTACAGCCACACCAGCGAAAGAAAAAGTTGCAAAGGGCAGAGTCCAGGAGAAGCAAGGCTGAGCTCCTGGTAGTCAGTCTCAGCAGAAGGGCACTGTCAGGGCCTCATTCTTTCAGCACAACACGTATCAGGTGTCACCAGACGGGGAAGCCTGCCCGAGCCTTGGTGTCAGGGATTTCATTGGGACTCAACCACACAAGCCTAGAGCAACCACACAGATGGCCTTACTCAACCTCCTGCCATTCTAAAGATCAAACAACATAACTCAGGACCCCAAGTGGACAAAAATGAGCATCTGCCTTAAATCACATTGTCGCACAAAACCACCTGGCACTGCCCAAGACACTCTCATCAGGGAAGCTAGTCTAAGGCTGTAGAGTTTATCTCCCAGGAGTCTGTCAAGCCAGTGAACCCTTGAATCCAGTAGCCCTCTGAGTTAACCCTTTATTGTCCTTTGTTTGTAATAACCAAAACAAAGTGTGATAGAGAGAAGCCTCCCACCCACGCGCTTACTTCAGCTTCATGCTGTGGTCAGAAAAATTCTCTTAGTGGTATTGAACAATGTGGCTTCACCTAGGCTTCAGTTTAAGTAAAATATGAACATGCATCCATTCGGAAAAAAATATATTTTAACCACAGGCCAATTTGTTCCACTTTTATCTGAAATGACTTGAAAATTGCTGGTCAGAAAACAGACCTCAGTTCAAAACTGAAAAGGGGAGGTTGTGTTTTAGAGTTATCACAAAAGGAATGTCTCCTTCCCTAGGAAAACATTTTATGTCAAGGGGAAGCAGAGTTTTCTGATAAATGGTTTTCTACTTTAAATTTGGAAAGCATTGATCAGGCCTTTAGGTTTGAACCATGTTATTAGCCAGCCCAGTGTCAAGGCAGCCTTGACTAAGAAGTCAAGTCCTTGCTCCCTATAAGCCCAAGAAAAAGGTAGCTCCCTGGAATTCAGGTCCTCACTCTTCTCTGTCAGTTCAGGCAATCAATCATGAGAGAATATACACAAATCTGTTAAAACAATAAAAACATTTTTCATGGCTACAACACTGGAAGTCACCAGAGTATAAGGGCTAAGTCATGAGTTCCAGAATCTAAGTTTTCACACTAAATTGGGAAACAGATGTAAAAACAAATGACTAACTATGTAGGGGAAATACAGTGACAGAGATTGACAGGCAATAAGGATGCAAGGTAGAAATATTCTCAGGACTTAAAGACTGACAGAACACAAGATGTAATCTTCCTTATCCTTTCCTCCCACCCTCCATCAAAACATATTAAGTAAGTACATAACAGATGTTGAGCAAATCAACTGATATAAGAACACCAAATGAGAATTGCTTTCTCGATCTAAATATCATAATTTATCAGCTATCTGTGGATGACCCTATGCGAATCAATATCCTGTCTGGAGGTCAGATTTCCCAATACGTAACCTTATCTGTTAGGCTCATAGGAAGAAATTATTAAGAATTTCAAGTGAGCTGATCTATTTGAAGCTGCAATAAAACCCTCAGGTAAAATATGGAGTTATTATAAGATTTTATCCTTAAAGAACTTTTATAAAGTTCTTGAAGTATTAGGTGAAATTTTGCAAAGGAGAAAAATTTCTGGAGGGAGGGAAGAATGAGAAACCCAGTTCCACTCCCAAAAGGAATGACTGCATCGGGTCTTTATTGGGGAAGCAGCAATGACAGAGCTGGAGTAGCCTAAGCAAGTTACAAAGCTGTTCTTCAGAGACCCTTCCACCAGCTGTTGACTTTGATACATTAACTACAACCCTCCAAGCCCCCGCTAAATGGAACAGACCAAGACAAACGTCCTTATCTGGAAATCGCCTGTCACTTGCAGCAGTTTCTTCCCAACCTAAACAACAGCCACCTAAAAACTGCGAAACCAAATCAGATATTGAAATATTGAACTACAATTGCTTCTGGCTCCATGGAGTTGACTGTCACTCTGTATTTAACACAGACACCCCAAAAACATTTGTTCTCTAAATCAAGTCTTTTGTGGCTGATCTGAGTTGCCTTTGTTTTTTGTTTGTTTGTTTGTTTTTAAGAACTCAAGACAAAACAGCTATGACCCCAATTTACTCTGAGGTGTGAGGAATTCTTGTAGAGAAAAAATAGTTTTGGAAAGTGAAAACGGTTCAGCTAGGGAAGGAATGGCAGTTGAGATGAGACACACAGGAGACGGGGCAGAGTGATGCACAGGTAGAGGCAGGTAAGCAAAGTGGCACTGAAGCTACCGTGTGCTTTCCCCACAGACCGAGGCGGCTCTGATGTATGATGCCGTGTACATGGTGGCCATTGCCTCCCACCGGGCTTCCCAGCTCACGGTCAGCTCCCTGCAGTGCCATCGACACAAGCCGTGGCGCCTTGGACCCAGATTCATGAACCTGATCAAAGAGGCAAGTGCCGATCTCTCTGTTGCTCTCCCGTTGGCTGAGAACTCTGATTTGTCCATTTGGTGTGCTTCTCTCCACCTGGTTCTGTTGGCGTGATATCCAGAAGGCAGGGGAAACCTTTGCCAACCTGGCTGTTGGGCTCCTAGTGCCTGCAAGTGCTATCAGGTAGTACCCGGCGTGAGGTTGAACATCCCCATTGACATCATAACTCTCATCCTGCATTTCAACGCTGGTTCCAGATGCTGCTGGCCCCACTCCAGTTCGTAGGGACCCAGCAATGTTTACCCCACAACCTGCTGAGCTGAGAGCAGGGAGAGCCTTCACTGGAAGGTACCAGGGAGAAGGCCGACATCATCAGCTCACATTCCCGGTGTCTCCCAAGTCTTAGGCTGTGTAGGACTAGGGGTGGAAGAACTTTGTTGTCAGAAGAGTACACTGAGCATTTTGCCATTTGTCAGCTAAAACTGAGTCACGCAAAAGAGGTGAAACAGTGGTAAAACAGTGTCACTCTCATAGCCTTTGATTTTGGGAAACAGTTATTTTTAATAAAAAGATTAATGTTTATGTCATTGTCCAAAAACCCAGTCCGTTCAAAATTTGCCAGCATGCACAAGGATTTTTCAGGAGCATGGGGCACTTGAGGGAGGGGCGGTCCTGACATCGCCCGAGGACTTTCCCTCAGCTTTTGGTTTTCGTTAAGGCCAATTTGGCTTCTTTTCACAAAGTCCTGTTCTAGGACCTAGAGAATTCCTGTAAGGAGATATCCTTGGATTATCTTCACACTCAACCTGCGCCTCAGGGGGTGCTCCAACTCCTGAGTTGAAATGAGGCTCCGGGGAGCAGCCAGGCAAGGCTGAACAGTTCCCACCATGCTCTGCAATGCTGCGCTAAGGCGTTCACCAAGGGAGGCAGGATTTACTTCACAGCAAGCCTCTTTACTCCTCTCCATACTGAGGACGGTGGGGGTGAGACAAGCCATGAAAAAAGGGATGGGAGAGAACGCCCAGACGCAAGCAAGGGGGGAAGCCGAAAGACGCCGCTCTGGGCTCCGCCCCTACTGCTCTCCCGGCACCCTCAGGCCTTGGGTATTCACTTATTTTTCAAAAGGGAATCAGACTAATCGTGGGAGTGAGGCCCAGACAGGCAGGATGGATGAGGTCTGACAGTACCCGGGTTCCAAGCAAGGGTCTGTGCAAAGCCGAGACTAGGCTGCAGTAAGCAGGGAGACGGGCCCAGGGCACACGACTTCAGGGGAGCACCCATCTCGGGCTTGACACCAGTCAACTCCCAGGAGATGGACAGGTAGTGTTTCTTAAATTCTGTGCCCTAAGCTTCTCTCTCACCTCACCCTGGTCTTTGCCTGGTGGCTGGGCTTTAAATCCCAACTCTACTAACATTTATAAGCAATCCAAATTAAATGAGCTACTTACACTCCTCATGTTTCACTTTCTCACCTATAAAATGGGGATAACATTTTCTAGCTCACAGTGTTATTGGGAGGTGAAGGAGGGAGGTTAACACTTACGAAGACCCATGCAGGAACATAGCAAGAATGTGAAGTATTAGCTATTCTCTGACCATTGAAGTGGACCGCTAATACCAGCCTCATTCAAGTTCCTGAGAATGATGCCAGGAATTTAAAACTGGCAACGCAGCCACAAAGGACTCACAAATAGGCATGAAATGAAATATCCTCTTGGACAGCTACATGAATCAGACGCGCTGTCCCCAGTAGAAGAACATCACACAGCTGCATCTCTTCCCACAGCAGTCGTGGTGAGGTCCTGAATTGCCATCCTGACCACCTTGATCTCTCACAAGAAAACAACTGTTTTCTTTTTATCTCACACCAGTGCCTGGAGAGGTAAGAGTCCACATGAAAGCTTGGGCTCAAACACCCAGAGCACCACCAAATACCTTTTCGCTGGTACTTAAGTTGCGTAAGAAGGTGGCATTACCAAGCTCCACTTAGCTGTATTTAAAGAAACAATGAGCTCCAAGGTGAGTGGCCACACTGAAAGCAAGAGAGCATGTAACACTCATTTACTCCAAGGAGCAAATTCCCCAATCTCAGGCTCCACAGTGGGGGAGCGGGGCGCAGAGGGACAGGGAAATGGGGCATTGGAAACCCTCATGACCCATGACCCTGTGCTCAACCTCTCTTTTGTTTTTGAGTCACGACACCATCTGCCACCTATGGCAGGGTAGAGAGCCCTGCAGAGGAGCAAACAAAAGCAACGTCCCTGCTACTGCAGGACTGGCACTGAGGGGATTCAGAGGCAGGCTGAAGCATGCCAAAGCTGGAGAGATGCAGATGTTGCTCTCAAGTACATAAACCAACAAAACTGTGCTAGCAGCAGGTTCAGTAAGGACACAGGGAATAAAACGGTTGGCCCCGGTGCTGCCCTGCCTGCCTCTATTAGTAACTATTTCTAAAGGATTTCCAAATCAAAAGTAACATAAAGGAGCAAGTCAGCATATTGAATTTATGGGGCGAAGATCAAATTCGTCACAGGAGGTAAACTTCCTGGGCACAGAGATAGCTGCCCACACACGATTCCTAGGAACTCCACACATCATTTAGAATCAGTGCACCTCTCAGATAGGTCATAAGCCAGCTACCTTTCGGTGTTTGGGGGTGAGGGAAAAGGCAAAGAACTCAAGAGCACATTAAGCACAATGGAACATGCTATAGAGTTCTTTCTCTGGGTGTCTGCTAAATGTTAGGTTATACATTCCTAAGCAGCAAGTCTACCCGGACTTCACTGTATCAGTAACACTAACGTGGCACTATCCAGAAACATCTTCCCAAAAATGAGATGTGGTTTCCACTATTACTAATATAAATTTTACTTATTCCTGTTTCTGGGACTTTTATATATAACATGTACTGCTTAGCAAATGGCTGGCATGCAGTGGTCACACAATAAAAGGCAGCAACTGTTAAATCAAAGCTTCTTCTAAAAGGGTGCATCATTTCAAGTGATGCAATGCATGTAAAACAGGCAGCTATCTCTCTGCCCAGGAAGTTTACCTCCTGTCCACTGCCGAGTGTGGGGAAGGATAGCAAGCTTGCTATTTTTGGCATCATCATCATTATTATTGGACCCCAAGCTGAAGTAGCAGAGTTTGCAAAAAGGCAGATAAGACATAGCAGTGGAAAGTCAGGAGTTCCTTGGGGGCTGGCAGGCAGCCTGCCAAGAGGAAATGCAGTGATGCCAGGGGATGAGGGCACTGCCCATCATTGAGCATGAACATGGCTTTTCAAGTGGGACTCAAAGACATTGGGTACTAATCAGCGATCCTCAGCTATCAGGAGACCCAAGCAAACCCCACCTCAGGTCTGTCTGGAAATGACACCTGATGTGGGCAACTATATCAGGAAGCTGAAGCACTTCCCATCTGCCTTCAGTTATACTGCTCCTGGAATAAGTTTCAGCTGGTCTGGAGAACTCAGGGTGGGCACAGTAGAAGCAAGCCCACTGAGGCATCTGAGAAGCACAGTCTATAGTCACCAGTGCAGAATAAGCAGCGAACTGTGGGTACAGCAAAATGAGCCATAGAGTTGAGGTTATGTCAGTTGTTTTCAACTGTTTTCTGACCCTTCCTTTAACTGACTGAAACCACATCCATGAATCTGTGGTTCCCCTAAAAGGCCTTTCCCTGAAATTCATGTGAAGAGTGTGCAAAACAGGTGTTTAAAACAGAATGTGGTTAAAGCTGTGAACAGCAAAAGTGTAAATGAAACATAAGGAGTTCCATGGGCTTGGATGGAGAGACCCCAGGCAAAGGTGGTGAGAAGTGACTTTAAGTAAATCTGGAGATATAACTGGTGGCAGTGTGTGCTGCGCTGAGGTTCTCAAATTAGATTAACAATTGATAAGAAGTCTCTGTTCTTTAAGAAGAAACGATGATATTTCAGATAGTTTACCTTGGTAGCTATGTGTTGATTGTACTGAAAGAGACAAGTGCTACAAAAAATTGTCAAGAACTTGTAGATATCTTGGTTTGGAAGAAATCTTCACTCATGAAGACAAGTGATCTTTGGGCTCCTACGCTAACATCTCCCTTAGGTCCAAATTCATCCAGTTACCTCTCTGTTGGAAAAATCCACATCGGGGAGCCACTGCCACCTCCACGCAGACAGAATCCCAAACAAGCCACTGTTGTTGTTACCACAGCAGTGCCATGCCAGACGCATAACCAAGACAGGATGAGCAATCTGGCTTAGTTCCTTCTGCCTGTTTGAAATTATCTAGTGAATATCTTGGTAGAGTCTATGACTTTTGTTTACTTAGGGAAATGACAGTCCTCATGTTCTCTTTAAAAGTCAAGCCTTACCTTATCTAGCTAGTAATTAGAAAAACTGATTTAAGATATCAGAATTCTAACTTGATTTAACATCAAATTTCTCTTCTCCTCAAGTCAAGAATTCTCTAGGAATGTGGGGGACATGGTCGTCTTTCTCCTCCCCTTGGTTCCTTCCTCGCCACACCCTTGGCTGCTGAGCCTCTATACACGCAAAATGAGCTAGGGACACTTCTCTCTTGCTTGGCTCTCTGGGTGCAGAAGACAGTTTAAACTGGCTAGGGCCTTAGGAGATTTTTAAGCCAGTTCTTTTCCTTAAAGCACTCTCTTTGACCATGAGTGTTGGGCAGTCTCTCCTAACACCTCTTTGACAGAGACCAAAGGATCCATTCCTATTTCAGATGGAAGTTTAGAGTGACATCGGGGGTACACAGGTCACCCTTCTTGTTGGTCTCCTTATCCCTTTAGGCAGACGGGGGATATAGACAGTCTGACTATAGTTATATCCCAGAACAATCGCGCCAAGGTACTCAGGCCCCCAATCTGGCCCACAGGAAACACCCATCCATTGCTCCCTGTAAACTCTGGGAGTCCCACTAATAATGATGCAGCAGATGTGTCCTGGCTGCCCCAGCCCCACACCTTGGTCAGCCAGCTCCCTCTGCTGCCACTCGGGAGACACGCAGCCATCCATC